TGCTGTGATTTTTAGTTTTGTTATGTGTTTGCAAGAGTTTACAGTAAGGGGATACTGTCATAAAGTAGGTAGCTATTACTACTAAATATAAAAACGACTGAAGAACAAAGTTAGAGAATATTGGGATATAACAGCATCAGGTAATGTAAAAAAAAAAAAAAAAAAAAAAAAAAAAAAAAAGCAGGCAGCCTTCTTTGTAGATGACGTAGTAGATGACCACTGTTCTTTGGAGACTAAAGATGAAGTGAAACACATTATGGTGCCAAATACTGGCCTCTCAAACTTGCCTCTTCAGCTGTAGCAACAAGAGTCACGATATCTGGAGAAGAGGCTGGCAGCAAAGCAGACACCAAAGGCTCATGAATAAAATGTCCTCAGATGAGTTTCAGCAGGGAGCCTCAGCGCTGAAATGCCATTCTCATCAAGCCCAGAGAAAAAGCTGGGAAGTCGGAAAAGAAATGGGCGTTTTTTGAGAGATAGCTCAAGTGGGCTAAGGAATGGAAGGTTACTGAAATGTCCAGCTGCTGTTCAGTGATGTGTGAGAGGACCGAAGCGCCATCATCTCTAGCACGGAAGCAGTAAGCAAAAATAATTTTTGTATCATAGTAGTGTGGATATTATTTCTGTTGGGAATACTGGGCTAATACAAATTATCACAAAACACAGCTTTACATTACTTTTAATTTCTATGTGCCTTTAAAATAACAGCTATGACAAATGCCAGTACTTTTTCTGGTAGCTATTAAGGAGCAGGATTCAGGCCCTTAGTTTTGTGCAGAAGACGTGCAGTTAGTTTTAGTCAGAGTAAATTTTGGATAAATGCAGTCTACTTCCCAACTACTGTGAAAGTATCTCAGTTTCCTCATGCATTAGCATATTTCATTGGCACAAAAGGTCACCCCTGCAGCAAGATAACTTTTAATTTTTTTTAATAATTCTTCCAATATATTGCATATACCACAATAGTGTATACAGATGCTTCAGTATTTATAGGGGCTTAAATTCCATATACTAATGGTGAAAGTCTATGCGACTCAAATCTCCTTTTTTTTGGTAGCGCCCTCATCTTTTCTTGTAATTAATTATTATTTGTGCTACGAGTCTGGGTCTCTTAAGAGCAGGGCCAAGAGAAAATATGTACGCTCTTAATTTATGTGTCTGTAAAAACTTTCCCCTGTTATAGAGGACATCAGACCTGACTCATAGATGCCAGAAACTGTAGCACAAAGTTAGATATTTTTATCATTTAAAACAAACAAACCAACCAAGTTCAGCTTTTAGATATCGAGAACCACTTTCCTGGAATAAGATGTGCAGTGAATTCGACAGTAAGCTTTTCTGTTCAGTAGGTGGGTTTATGTCAAACGGTGGTCTTACTGTAGAAGCATATATTGTATCAAGAGAGCACTCTGCTCAGAGGAAAATGCCAGTTAAATTACAGACATTGTAACATTTGAAGTTTCTTGGATAATTTGTATACATCTGTTCCGGACTTGTAAATCATACATATGGAAACAGAGACCTGTTGAAAGCATGGAAAGTCCTCCCTCTTTTGGCACAAAAGCTTTGACAGAAGTGCTATGCAGTAGGAAAATCTATCTCTCCACACAATGACTTACTGTGCTGCACGAGTGTTGCAGCTCATGTGGTACCTGCCACCACCCACTGTTCGTGTTCTCTGCCACTTGCCAGTACAATATGACTGCTTAGGGATGATATGTTAGACCATCCTGCAGGGTGTGGTTTTTCTAATATTCCTTAAAGCTTCTGTCAAGCTTCAGCATGGAAGAAATCAACATAAAACTATGTAAAGGCTTTGGGTCATAATGACAGAAAAATACAAAGGCTTGGCAGGTGTGGAAGTACTCTAATGCTGTTGGGCACGCTAGTGAAAGAGAAGTGTGGTTTGCTTAGTTCGGGAGAAAAAAGTAGGGTAGGGAAAGCTGAATAAAACTTACGAATGGCTGCCTTTTAAGTGGAGCACAACATGCAAATGGGAAGAATGTCACTTCTGAAGTGTAGCATGCTACAAAAACCCCTTTCAGTAACAACTTGGTTGCTGGGTCATTCTTATGAAGATGGCACAGTTCTATTTCCTCCTATGGGCTTATATGTATGTAGAGGAACCTATACCGTTAAACATTAACAAAACAAGTAAAATTTTCCGTAGCACAGCTTAGTTTAATAGTAATTCTCAAGACCTTCATCATCTGTGGAGATAAACTGTCTGGCTGCAATACTCTGGATTAGGTATTACCATGGTCTAACTCTACAGAACTCCTTTTTATAATATTTTTCATAGCGCTCAAGAACCCCTTATTTGTCTTTGCTCTACCTGGATGGGGAGTTTCCATCCTCCTATGGCCTTTTGCCTTGCTGTGTAGCAAAATACAATTCATTGCATCTTCATGAAGCAGACTGTTTTCAGTTGTGCAAGTATCTGCATGAGCGGCACAACTATGGTTTAAAATACATCTTAATGATAATTTTATAGTGTATGTATGTTAGATGGCCCAGCTCTCTGTATTTCATTAGGTGTAATATCATCTATCTGCACTGTCCTGTTCACCATAACCCTTTTCTGCTGTATAGTACAGGCATTGTCAGAAATACATACTGGCTCCTTCAGCCTTAAGCGCTACTTATTTTCCCAGGCTGCCAACTTGCTCAGGCTGCATTTCTGGCTAGACCTGTTTCCATGCTGCAAACCCATTCCTAGCCTGATAGAATATAATAGTGAGAGGTGCATGCAATATTGCACAGTTTTTTTCTCCCTAAAAGGAGAAAAGGCAGAGGTAGCAGCAGCTGCAAATAAATCCCAGCAAAGATGAAGACAGAAAATGAAGTGGAGAAATTGGCATCAGCAAATGCTTCATCTCAGCTGAGGAGCAAGAGCATTAGCTAGTCAGCTGGCTCGTGGCAGTCTGGCTTTACTCTAAAGAGGTACCCTTGTAATTGTCACAGGAAAATAGGTGATGAGCCTTGCATAAATATAGTGATTAGTTGATTATTACTATTAAGTCACTTATTAGATTACGCTGAGACTCATTTTTGTAGTTAAAAACTATGTCCAGAAATGAATCAGTTAGATCCTAACCATCTGCCACGCCTTTTTGAATAACATACTGGCTCAATGAAATAGATGGGAGCCATTTCAGCATTCTGCATAGGGGATTTTAATGCTATCCAAGGTAAAATTATCTGTATGCGTGGAAAGGACTGAATTAAGGGAAAAAGAACAAAATGCTTTATTTTATTCAGAGGGGCTGAGTACGAAATAGAAGTACGACAGGGACACTCCTACAGGAATGGCTGTGCTTGTCATAGCTAAATATATTGAAGGTATGTTAGCCTTAAAGAGTCTTACTTTTCACCTCCAAAAAAGAGCTTTAATGTTGTTGTTGTTGTTGTTGTTGTTGTTTTCCCGTTTCCGCCAAATGCCAGAGTCTAATTAAGAAAGCACTGTTTAAACAACAAACTGGTAGCAAATAGTTCCACAGGATTTTAGCGTGTTGACTGGGTAGAGGGTATCATCTGATAAAATATCATTTCCAGTAACAATTTTGGCTACAATAAATGTTGATACTGTTTCTTTGCATGCTTTTATTTACTATTAGCATCGACTGGGATAGACAACTGCCTCCCCTAGGGAAATGACTAGGGAAACACCCACCTTGGAAGACTCTTTAATAAAATAAACAGTACTGAACATGTTTGTTTCAAAGTAGCATCTATTACAAGCTTAAGTAATTCAGTGAGGCTGCATAGTTCATACCTGGAGTGTTTTTTTTTTTTTTTTTTCAATGCAGTTCACACAGATTTTAAACTAATGATGATATCACTTACTTCTGTTAAATGAAGTGGGAGCTACTATGTAATACATACGTTAATCTCACTGTCCTTTGTTGTCTTTTGCTGTCATTATTACGTTAAGTTCACATGTAACTATGTGAAGCCACCTTTAGCTTACTGCTTAGGCTGGAGCCTCACTCTGTTCAACAGTGCTTTGATGAGCAAAAAAAGGGCACACAACCCCAGAAATAGGGCCAGGACAATGCTTTCTTTGCCATTTTTGAGGGTACTTGATGTTAGGGATTTATTTTTTTCAGTTCTTCTTCTCAGTCCCTCCGATGTGTGATGGATCACCAAGTTATACTTTGACAGAGGCAGGAAAATAATTTTTGAATTCTTGCTCTTGTTGATAGAGTTTAGACAGATTGGAACAGCCGTAGCAAGGGAACTAAACAAGGGAACTAAACTCCTGTTATTGTCCATATTTAAAAAAAAAAAAAAGGTAAGAAAATTAGATTGTTTTGAGAGAACAAAAACTTGGTGATATTTGTGATGTCTGTCTGGAATGTGTCACTGTCTTAATTTGCAATGTTGTTTTAATCGTGCTGGATATGAACTACTCAAGGCTTTCAAAATGATTAAATTCTGAGTGTCTTGTGTAAAAGCCTTATTCAGCTCTGGGTTCTTTCCCTTACACAATGGAAAAAGCAAAAAAGTAAGTTGGTTTCCCTTGCTGGCCTTTGCAGAAAAAAACTGTGAAATGAGGCATAAATACTTTCTGAATAGGATCCCTTAAGAAATACGTCTGTGAGTGTAACTACATTAGAAGCCATTGCAGTAGCTCAGCATGTTCTTGGACAATCTCGTAACTCTCACTGCTTTTGAAAGAAGTTGCTGACCATCCCGTAATTCAGGCAATGACATGGGTGGGGGGGGGGGGGGGGGGGGGGTTCGGGGAGGGGCTCAGGGACTGCAGTGGGGTGTAGAGGAGCTGTATTCTGTTGACTGAGTCGCTCTCTAGGCAGGCTCAGGTGATTTTGTGCATGAGTACTTTAAAAGCCACTTCTGTGTTTATTTTTTCTTGTTAATATCCATTAACTAACTGCATTCAGCCTCTGTAAAAGGGGAAATGAAGTGCTTTTTTTTTTAAGCTTATAAATTAACTTTTGAGCTGCTATACAATGGAGAAACTACACATACTTAAAAAAAAAACTATTTATTTTTACAAGAGTATTTGATGTAGAACAATAACGTACAAAGTAAATATGTTAACAAATTTTTGTGTTTCAAAGGCTCTTTCTCTGAAAGGAACAATTAAGATGTCTTGTGATCAGTAGACCAGTACATTCCTGGAGAAGAAGAGCTACACTTGATATATCGTCGTACAAAAGGAGCAGCACAAGCGTAAGAAAAACATTTTCAGAAATATAATGATGTCTGATATTTATGGCAAAAGTTAACCTATACAAGACAGAGACTGATGCTGATCTTAGTATCTTCCTCTATCCCATGCCAAACCCAGAACAGCGGTTGGTCACTTTTCACAGACTACTCCATCTTCAAATTAGCCCCTGCTCTCCCCAGCTAATTTATATTAACTTTTTAATTTGGCATAGAAGTTGCAAACAAAATGTTAAGTACAGAATAAAGGTTCATCTAATTTCTGTGTATGTTGGTCAAGTTACTGGAGTGCATTAATCATTCAAATGAACAGCCCTTGGCATCTGCAAGTTGGAATGGCTATATCCTCAAACAGCAAGGATGAAACCCAAATATCCTGTACTAAACAACTACCTTGAGCCACAGGGGTGTGTGTGTGTGTGTGTGTGTGTATGTGTGTGTGCGTGCGTGCACACACATGTGTGCGTGTGTGTGTTTTTGTTTGTTTGTTTGTTTTTTTTTAAACTGTTCTTGGTTACAGTGAGCCTCTGGAAACCATAAATACTGAGAGGTAAATGTTTCTGTCAGCTGATTGATTTAGCAGTCACATAATCCTTCCTTTGATGTCTTGGGTCAATGAAATCCTAGTACCACCAGGGTTGAGTAGGAGATATATTAAAAGAATTTCTCTGTGATCTTTCCTGCAACGGAAACAGCAGTAAAAGTTATTACTCTGTCTCAGTAAAGGAGTATCTACACATTCTTAATTAGCCCAGTTTTTCAAATGAGGTTATTCTTTAGATTACTAGTAGAGCATAGCTGTGGTTGTGGAACTTACTTAAGTTACAAAGGTAAATTTGTAACTGTATTTCTAAAACCAATATTTCCCCTGGTATTTTCTCTGGTAAAGAGCATGAGTGCCCAGAAGGGAGATCGCTGTAGATTTCAAGAGCAACCATAACAAGAAAACCTACTGGGAAGAGCCAAAGTACAAACACATTCCCTCAGTTATTAGCAGTTTACTCTGAAAACGATGCTAGAGGTCAATTACTGGACTAATACTGTAATGGTCTGCATATCCACATACCTTCTTGTGTTAAGCCAACAGTTCTCTAAAGCTACTGAGGTAGGTTTTCCACCTTAAGCATTTGGTGTTTTAACAGCAGGAACATCATATTGTGTACTAATTTGATTTTAGAGAGAAAACAGTAACAACATCTTTCATAGGCTCTTAGAAAAGGTACATCTTTTTTGCTCTAGGGCTC